TTCCACATTAGAATGCGTGAACTACTGCATTTAAAAAAATTCTTGGGTATGGATATATTGTCATTTATTTTTTTCTATTATTTAAAAATATTTGAGATTAGTGATAATTGTGGAAGTCAGAATAATCGTCACCTCTGGATTAGGTATTAATTGGAGGTGGCATGTGTAATGTTCTGGGGGCCTATAAATGTTCTATGTTTGGCTCTGGCTGCTGATTACATGGGTGTATACACATAAAAATTGTCTTTTTTGTACGCTTTATATACTTTATTGTATACAAATTTACCTCAATGAAAAATTTTAAAATGTGATTAAAGTCATTATACTTTAAAGATATTATAAAGTATTAAATTATATCTCTGAAGAAGTAGGACAGGGATATAGAAAAGAAGAGTTGAGAAGGAAGTGAGGTAACATTATTAAGTACCTTCTATCTTATAAGCATATTACATAATTTCTCAATATCAACCACAACTCTGTGAAGAGGGTATCCTTATTCCATTTTTGTAGATGAGGCAACAGACTCAAAGGGTAAGGAAACTGCCCAAATTCACACACACTTGGTAAGTAGCAGAGTCAAAAAAGAAAAGAGAATCATCTTATTTGGGGAAGAGGGGAATATATCTTCTTCTAGACTTATACCTCATAAAATAATATGACATAATACATTGCAGAAATAACATTCCAAATATTGTTATTGAAATAGTCATGATTCACCTGGAACAAAAACCCTTTTATCTGTCAGATCATAGATTGGAACTTGCTTTGTGGATTTGCCATCATCGGAAAATCATGACGTAGCAAAGACAGATGACCTGAGGTTGGACGTGGCTCTCTTGTTCTTCAATGCAGAGATAGTCAAAAGAGCCATACACATATGATGCATATTCTAGCAGGGAAAACATAGGTCCATACCTTTTATTCATGCCCACTCTTGAAGCAACAAGGAATAACATATCACTAACTTTGAGGGCATTTCTAAGGTGATTATGCTGTCTTATAACCCGGCTTCATGTGGAAGAGCCCAAGTAGCTGGGAAAAGAATGCTGTGCATTTGTTCTTCTTTTCTTCTTCTTTTTTAAACCAGTGATTCTATGTTTATAAACTAAAGGACAGAAGGGCCCAAAGGCATTCCCAACTTCTCCCGAATTATAATACATTCTTCCAAAACCAAATCGACCAAGGAAGCACGTGTTACTCATTTAATCATTGTATAATGACACCTCATCTTTTACTTTAGGTTATATAAGTCATATTGCCAGCGGGGGAAAGAAACCAATTTGTACAAAGATCTCCAGGCTTTTGTTTCCTGTTGTGTAAAATTAGGCCTCTTCAGTGGCTGATGTTCTAAGATTCCATTGTTTACAATTCTAGCAAATGTGCTTTTTAGGGTTTAAAAGTTGTCGGGTTCCCAATAGATAACATTTCAGAACAGGCTTTTTTCCAATTATGGGAGTGAACAGATTATATGAGGAGTATGTGTTCTGGCTACATTCCTGTCATTACTAAAAGAGCACAATTATCAATCTCTAAAGTATGGGTAAGTGGATTTGATGTAAACAACCTCATGCCAAGTGCTGAGATGTAATGAAAACATTATATAATTCAGTAATGAGAAGTGGAAAAATTATCAACAGGAGGAGAATGAAAAAAAAAGAGCGTTTTTAACAGTGAAAAGTATAGAAAAAGGAGCTTTAAAGAAGTCTCATGAATTAAATTGAGGGGAAATATGCAGAAAAAAGAAAGCCAGTCTCTATAGCAAAAATGATACAGAGGATTATGCAGTTTATACTTTTATATGAATATGCCTAAATTGTCCCGGATCATCTTCTACCATCCACAAGTTCCAAAACAAAGACAATCTTTAACACTCATACACATTTCTGAGGTTAAAAACCAAAGACTTTTCTACAAAAGCATATAATTTTCACATTTCCCCAGGACCAAAATGAAAAGAAAGTTTTCAGATGCTCAAGTGGTTTAGGTTATCCTTTCATAACGTTTAAATATTTGCATCTTTGACAGTAGGAAATTTCTAAAAGTTTCTCCACCAGTAAATCCTCACCGAATACATTTCCTTCCCGCATATAAAAAAGAATAACTTTATCAAACACTCTGAAAATTAAACAGAGAGGATGTAAGTTGTTGCACGAACTAACAGTGGGCTAGGAGACCAGTGGATTTGCCACTTGCCCCATGGCATAAGCTTGGGCAATTCACTCAGTCACTGAGCTTTACCTTCAACTTTATCGCCTGTCATTTCTTTGTAAATGTTACCAGTTTCCATTGCTACCAAAGCATCTGAGAATGTAAAAAACAGATTTTTTTTTTAGTTCATGGACTTGGAAGCCTTCAAATATTCAATATAAATATTCATTAATTTTGGCAAACACATACCAAATGTTCTTAATAAGAAGATTAAAACAGATGTGATAGTAATGATTAGTAGGCAAAACAAGTCCTTCCAACTGTTTGCCAAGCCATCAGGAAAAATTCCTTCTTCTTCCACCCTCTCACGCACAATAATTGTGTATAACTCTATTGCAGCACTTATTTGGCTCTGACATATTCTTAGGCATCTTTCCAGTTAAAACATTAGCACCCTGAGGGCGGGCACTGTACTGTAACTCTGTAAAGATCTCGTAAAATGTGTATGCCCCTCAGTAAACTTTGTGGGTGAGTAAACAGCACAAAAAATTCCATTCGCTTCTCTCCCATTTAGCAACGTCCACCTCCCTCTTTTTCCTTGCCTTTTAAAATATAAGTGTAATATTTGCCCATCACAAACAGCCTTGGGAGGCTGCATTGCATAATGGATGTCAAAGCCAGCCTGGTTTAACTCTGTGCTCTCTCATTTATTAGCTCTCTGACCCTGGGAAAATTGCTTAATGCCTCTAATTCTTTCTCTGTAAAGTGAAAATAATAGGTTCCACTTAAAAAATGGTCAGATTAAAAGAGATCATGTTTTTTTTTTTAAAAATATATATTTTATTGATTTTTTACAGAGAGGAAGGGAGAGGGAGAGAGAGTTAGAAACATCGATGAGAGAGAAACATCCATCAGCTGCCTCCTGCACACCCCCTACTGGGGATGTGCCCGCAACCAAGGTACATGCCCTTGACCGGAATCGAACCTGGGACCCTTCAGTCCGCAGGCCAACGCTCTATCCACTGAGCCAAACCTGTTTCGGCAAGAGATCAGGTTTTATTATTTATTTATTTATTTATTTATTTAGGATTCCTTCCTAAGCTAGAGGCAATCTGACCCACATGAGAACCTTGGTTAACTTCCTCCCTGCCTTTTTATGCCTGTGATCTTTGGGTACCACGCAAATTGCTAACTCTGGCTAGACATCAACAATGGAACAATTATTGTGATGCCATTCCTCTCTTCCTCTCTTCTCTATCCAATCTTATTATTCCCCTCACTGCACAGTCTGGAAGGAGATCATGTTTTAAAGACTTTTAACAAGGTGCCCAGTGTAACACTTGATAAATGGTAACTATAACTATTGTTATTTCCTCAAAGGTGCAGATATACCAAAAAAAGCAAAAGCAAAACAAACGATGCCATGCCATTAGCTATTTCTTGCTTTTCCCTCTAGTGGACACATCAACCTCTGAATTGGAGGCCAACAGAAACTAAATGTTAATAGAGATTAGGTCTGAGACTCAACAAAACCAATCTGGAACATACCTTTGCTGATAAAAATTAGGTTTTTATGTTTTCAAAGCTGAAAGAGGTGCTCAGAGTATTGAAATAGTGGAAGGATAGGGTTGGGTTAGGTCGTGGTAACCATAAGAATATTTTATTAGGGTGAAATCTAACTTGAGGCCATCTCTAGCACCAACCACAGTATACAACTCCAGGGAATAGACTACAGTGATCTTTGTTCATTCCTAACTGGCAACCAATCCTTTGGAATAAAAACCTGTTTTGCCCTAGGTTTTCACCAGAGTTGCCTTACTGTACATATTTAAGCACATGTGCTTGAGTTTATTTACCAATAACTAACTAGTTGAGTTGTAAAAATGGGGAAGCATCTTGTGGACATGCTCACTAAATTTCCACCAGGTTTCTGCATTGGCCGGCTCAGGGAAATGCAGCGTCAGCCACGTGTCATATTTCCAATACCTCTCCCCTCCCCCCTCCACCTGGATTTCTTGTACATTAAGCCAGTTATATAGACAGCAAGTGCACTTCTAGAATCTCTGGAGCTGGCACCATCTTCTGCACATAATAAGTATTTTCAAATTGGGTCACGGGTAGCCCCCACTGAGAGGCAGAATTTAAAAAATGATGAGCAAAATGTGGACTTCAGGAGGCCAAATGAATGACCTCTTCCGTGGAAGCAAAGACACACTCCTTCCCCTTCCTTCAAGGAAGCCAGCTGCTGATTCATTTATTTTGTTCAAGACTCAGCAGGAACACAGTGCTTTGTTATTTGATAGAGGCTTGCTACGACACAATGACAACGCTATAATGTCCGACAGGGGGAAGTGCTTCCCTCGGCTTTAGGCTCGCTGAGCTCAGTGGCCTTGAGCAGCTCTGCACTTTTGACACAGGCCAACAGCTTTATGTTTAAGTATTTCGTATTCTTTTGGGAAGCATTAGGAGCAGCAGTCGGATTTTGCCTGTGAGCAGATCCTTTTGCCCTGGGGTGGACGTTCACATGGTCTATAAGCGATTGCGAGTGAGTGCACTGCCCACTTCTGAGGCCAAAGCAGTCCTAAAATCAGTTCGGCGTGCGGAGGGCCGTGTGGTTCTTTGGTCAAAGGCAACCTGTAATTGTAAAATTCCTCTTGCATTTCATCGTTCCCAGAGACCTAAATAATGTTCCCTTGTGTTTTGTTTTGTTTTTCAGGTTATGTGGTATGTGGTCATTCTTGCTGTTGTTTTGAAGTTGTAGACAGTTAAGTAAACATCTTAGGGGAATAGCTAAGATCTGAAGCTAGGAATGCTTCATAATGTTTTTTCTATTAAAAAAGAAACAAGGCCCGGCTGGCGTGGCTCAGGGGTTGAGCATCGACCTATGAACCAGAGGTCACGGTTCAATTCCTGGTCAGGATATATGCCTGGGTTTGGCCTCGATCTTCAGCGTGTGGCGTGCAGGAGGCAGCCATCAATGATTCTCTCTTATAATTGATGTTTCCATCTCTCTCTTCCTCTCCCTTCCTCTCTGAAATCAATAAAAATATATTTAAAAAAATTTTTTTTCAGAAGTCTTCTGCCCTGCCCTCCACACCTGTCTCTTGTTATCACTATGGACTTTTGCCCCAGGAGACTGAGTCTCTACATAAAAGTTGTGTAATCCTTACTTCCAAGAATTACCTGGGTGCAGACATGTAATACTCACCTCCCATGTGGACAGGCATGGTGGCAGCTGTGTGACCAGAGACATGCCCAGGATGGGGTTGGGGAAGGAGGGTGAGAGAAGGAATCCTCTGCAGCAAGCACAGTTAGTCTTTGATTCAACAGCAAAGCTGAGTCCGGCATAGTGGAGCCATCTCATTCTCCTTTAGCAATCTGACACGACTTGCTGCAACTACTTCCAAAAACTTCCCTCCGTTCTGTTTAGTTTGGGGACGGGATGAGGACCAGAAAATGAGAGGTCTACAAAAAAAAGTATTTGTTCCTTCATCCATTTACTGATTATAAATTCAAGCATTTACTAAGTGCTCTTTATGGGTCCGGGCACTGCGCTCAATGTTTTATGTGCACTCACTCTCTTAATTCTTACAAGAACCATCAAGTGGATCAATTTTTCAACCTCCATTTAACAGTTGAGGAAACTGAGCCCTTGGGGAGGTTAAGAAACTTGTCCAAGGTCACACAGTAAGAGGCAAAGGTGGGACGTGATTCTGATGTGATGCCAAAGCTGTGCTCTTAACCACTGTGCTATACTGCCTCCCTGTGTTAATATCTTTTCTCCCCAGCACCAGGGAAGATAATAGAAGATAGGAAACCTGCTAGATGCTTGGAGGCACTCTTATATGCATTTGCCATTACATTAATACTATATTATTATGGAATGGTATCTTAAATTGTAATATTTATATGAAACAACTGGGAAACTTAAATAGGCTCCAGCAAAGATAATTCAAGCTGTTTGATCTCTAAAATATGATTATAATGATCTCTTTTTGTCTGTCTCTGGTTTTCTGAAGTGATCTTTTGTTTTGCATGAACAGTTGTTACTGAGCAGCACCAGCTGCAGGAAAACAATTCATGACATTACCGCCTCCCCCCCTCTCTCTTTCCTCCCCACAACCTCCGGTCCTGGCATGCGCTATCATTTTGAATGAATGTGAATGACAGGGATGGGAGGCGCTCACATTTATTTCTCGTATAAAATTTATTGAAGCAAAAGCTTCTCCGAGAGAGGCCCCAGCATTGTATCTGGTTCAGACGAAAACCTTCAGGGGAGAAAAGGGCTGCTGATACAATTTAGCTGGAAGATAGAGAGGCAGGAGGAGAGGAACACTTTTGGGAATTTTGAGCACTCTCTTCTATTTCTGGCACCCTAAGGGATAGTTACATCTCAAAGCACAAATTAGAGTAAGGAGAACGTCTCAGATTATATAATGTCCTTTGTTAGACACGCCAGCTTTAGGGTTGGTCTAATTTACTTTGACTACTCATTTCTGAAAATTGCCTCTGGGATGCAGAATCTGTCCTTAAATTTAGCCTTTTCCTTATTCCATATTTCATGTGAGAGAGAATGCCCAGATAACCAAAATCTGTATGTATTCTCCAGATCTTCAATAAAGGTATAAAGCTATCCGTTATATTTGAGGTTCTCAGCTTCCTATTTGTAATCCATTTTCAAGAGTTAAAATTATTGGCAACACAAATGAAAGGCTTCAAAGGACCAAAACACACCACCATCCCCATTATAATAAAACAGCGTCTCTTGGTGTCCATAATAGTAGCTATAGCACAGGCGTGGCTTATATGCTGGCTTTTCTGCATCATGTCTAGTTGTGAGGACAGCTATTTACTACCGTTACCTTGATGTCTTACATGCTTACACATTTCAGAAAACATATGCTCTTTCTTTGTTGCTGGTCAGATCTTTTGCCACAGCATTTAAAAAAAATATACTTCTATTGATTTCAGAGAGAAGAAGGGAGAGAGAGGGAGAGAGAAAGAGAGAGAGAGAGAGAGAGAGAGAGAGAGAGAGAGAGAGAGAAGAAACATCAATGATGAGATAGCATCATTGATCAACTGCCTCCTGCATGCTCCCTACTGGGGATTGTGCCCCAAACCCAGACATGTGCCCTGACCAGGAATTGAACTGTGACCTCCTGGTTCATAGGTCGATGTTCAGCCACTGAACCACGTTCAACCACTGAGCCACGCCGGCCGGGCATATTATATTTTTTATTGCTGTGTGTCATGAGAGCATGCTCAGGCTAACCTACTTCAGATGTGTGATAAGAATGTGGAGAAGAGCCAAGACCAGTTAAACCACCTGACAGCCAGCCAACTCCCAAACACATGAGAAGGCTCAGCTAAGGTCAGCTGAAGTGCCTCCCCAATGCACACTTCTGACTATAGACATGTAAGGGACCCCAAATGAGACCAGGAGAGCCACCCTGCTGACCTGTAGACTCATGAGCAATTATAAATGACTGTTATTTTAAGCCTCACAGTTTAGGGATGTTTTGTTAGGCAGCCTCATTGTGTCAACAGATGACTGATATAGGCACTAATGGTTCTTCCCTACATGGCCTGTCTACCTCTTTTTTTTTTTTTAATAGATTTTATTGATTTTTTACAGAGAGGAAGGGAGAGGGAGAGAGAGTTAGAAACATCGATGAGAGAGAAACATCCATCAGCTGCCTCCTGCACACCCCCTACTGGGGATGTGCCCACAACCAAGGTACATGCCCTTGACTGGAATCGAACCCGGGACCCTTGAGTCCGCAGGCCAATGCTCTATCCACTGAGCCAAACCGGTTAGGGCCTGTCTACCTCTTTAGCTTCATGTCCCACTACCCCAAAAGCACTTTAACCCAGCTGGTGAGGCTCAGGGGTTGAGCATTGACTAATGAATCATGAGGTCATGGTTTGATTCCCATTCAGGGCACATGTCTGGGTTACTGGCTTGATTCCCCAGTAGGGAATGTACGTGAGGCAGCCAATCAGTGATGCTCTCTCATCATTGATGTTTCTATCCCTTCCTCTCTGAAATCAATAAAAAAATAGATTTTTTAAAAAAGCACTTTATATTTCAGGCGCTTTACTTGAATTTCTGAAATTGGACATGGTGTCTCATGCCTTTTGATATGTGATTCTCTATTTCTGAAACGCACTTCATGACCCATCTGCCTGGACAACAATCCTTCCTCCCAGGCTCAGCTTAGGTGTTACTCCTCTGGAAAGTTATCCTGATGCCCCAGGCCGGGTTAAGGGCTCCTGCCACGTGCCTGTGACTATCTCTAGCATAGAAAGGCACACACATGGTTACAACTTACTTATCTAGATGTTCTCTCTCTTCCACCATAAGCAGAAGCTTCCCAAGGCAGATACTTATATTCTCTATATCCTGAATATAATGTTTGGCACAAAATAGAATTTCTACACAAACTTGTAAGCTTATTAAAAACATGTATCTACCTTAGTGTAACAGAGTGCTAAGTCTCATAAAGGAGAAATTTCTAAGAGAACAGGGAAGGTTTCATAGAAAATGCAGAAGTTGAAATGCTTTTTCCATTTAATGGTGGAGAGGGTTTGAGAGGTGGAGAATATTTCGGGCAGAAGGAACAGCCATGAATAATGGCAAAGTGGCACTTTGGTGGTTGAAATGTCCAGTATTATTGTAGGGGAGGCTTCATGGTTTCACACAGTCCGTTTTTGGGCCATTCTCATAGAGATAAAATATCACAGTACGTGATCAGCCACTTGACATGGTATGGCATTGTCATTTCTTAAACTTCTTATCTTAGAGATAAATGCCATCCCTGCATTTAAAAACTAAATGTTAGTATATTAGTCTCATCAACAACCCACTTGTTTATATGACCAAGAAATGTCTAACTGCTAAGAGGTTAAAAAAAAACACACACCCTCAAAGCACATGGTTTTCTAAAGCGTGCGAAATGAAGCAGATGACATTTATCAAATGCTTATTAATCCATTAATAACCAGTTTGGCTATGTCTCCAAAATTTGGGGGTAATTGGAATAGATAATAATTTTGGTATAATGTAGGTACAACTTCATATGCTGTTTAAACTGATTATCCCTTTATTTGGCTTTAGTATTTTGCAAAATATTTTCACAGGTAGTTTCAAAAATAGACCCATAACTGTGTATATAAATAGGTACTTGCTCATATAATTAAGCCTGAAGAAAATACATACACATGAAAATATTTGTACTAAAATGGTAGAAATGTATAGATAATTTAAACATTTATTCATCAAAATTCTCTTCAATGTGGTTAATGCTTTTATGATATAACAAGAATATCAAGAATTGATGTTTGAACCAAGGTTTACTATAAGGAACAATTGACGTGGGGTTTCTCATTGCTGTGTTGGTTTGGTTTAAGGTAGTTCCAATACTCTGAATCTGCTTTTGCAAAATATTTTATTAAAATATTTGGGCAACCTATTATTTTTTTCACCAGGGATGCCAAGATAGGGATGAAAAGAGACTAAGGGCAAACAAGGCTATTGCAGGTGGGTGGACATTCTCTCTAGTTGCTTTCATGTCATTTGGCAGGAAGTGAACTGGCCATCCCCCGCCCCACCCCTCGCCTCCTTTCCCTTTGCCCTCACACAGACTGTTGTTGATGTTCTCCGAGGACATGCTAGGGCGTTGAGGGGTTCCTCTGAAGAAGGGCTGCTTTGATCTCTGCTGGACCTAGAAGTGCCCCTGATCTCTTGGGTCATGTCTGTCTTTTTTGGGGGAAGATCATGTCTCTTGTTCCTGATGGTGTCTGGACAAAGAAAAAAAACGCCATCCCTGCACTCATGACTGTGGGGTGCTTGGCCTCAAATATGAGTTTAGATTCTAACACACCCTATTGAAGAGGGAGCATTACAAGTCTGAATGTTGG